GCTCAAATAACTCAGGGGAAAAGGGGCCAGGAATCCCCTCAGAATACACCACAGAGCATCTAGAATTCTAAATTTTCCGGGCCCTAAGCGGGCCCCGGACCCCACGCCGTAAGACAGGCGTGATCCGCCCTCGCATTAGTCCTCGGAGCAAAAGCCACAACGCACCGTTGCAACAGTTTACAAAACGAAGTCAATACAATTTCTTTTCCAAAATAAAAAGCAAGAAAATATAAAGACGTAAAATGGTTTTCGACTTTCAAGCACACAGTAACTTAAAAATTGTATAAAAGTAAGAGTATGTTTTAAAAAAAATCCTTAAAATCTTAAACACTTTTGCTCAACTAATTCAGGGGAAAGGAGCCAGGAATCGCCTCAGATTGCACCACAGAGCATCTAAAATCCAAAATTTCCCGGGCCCCTTAAGCGGGCCCCGGACCCCACGCCGTAAGGGCTTCGCGCTCCGCGCTCGCATTAGTTCTTGGAGCAAATAATTTTGCTCCAACAGTGTGCCCCCCGTCTAAAAAAATCCTGGATCCGCGCCTGAAGGCCATCACTGATCATGTGACTTGTAGTCCATGATATGATTGGCTTATATATTGAAATGCTATTGTGCAGGCTATGTTTAGCCACGGAATGCTATACTTTAAAATTATTTTACAATTGACTGCTAAATTGGAATGCTATACTCAATTTGCAGTCCTCCCTCTTTCACTTGCATGCTATGCAGAATGCTTTGAAGCTCGCATGCTATTTGGAATGCTATTTTCATTCTGCATGCTATTGAGAATGCTATATGGACTGCTAAAGTTAGCAGTCATCCAGTCATCATTTTCTGTGAATGCTGTGTGGATGCTATAATAGCATGCACATGCTGTTTAAATGCTATTGAACTGCTATGCACATGCTATTATAGCAGTCTAGTTTGGTAAGGGCTTGCTGCGTGAAATGGAAAAGTCCAGATTTTACCGAGCGATGATATTCCTCCCACTTCACAATTCCTCCAAATTTCAAGTTCCTAAGTAAAGCATTTCTCAAGTTATCGTGCTGACAAGAGTTAACCTAACCAAAACATAACACACACACAGACATGTATGTTTGTGTATGGTGTAAATCGAGACTTTTCTTTTGTTCCTCTTCCCAAAAGTGTGACTAAAAAGGCTTTGAAGAAAAACTTCGGGCCCCAGAAAAATATTGGACCGCTCTCTAGTCATTCAACAAATCTCGCAACAGTTTTAATTATTTAACCCCAAGTCTTGAAGACTGCCAACTCGGCGACCAAGACCAAGACCTGTACTTCCAAGGCAAAGAATTTTACTTCAAAGACCAATACATTGTAATCCTTAAGACCATCACAGAGACCAAAACCAAACAATGAAAATGAAGACCTGCACTATTAACTAACTCCCTAGGCATTTTGGCTAGGATGTAGCCTCAATCCTGCAAAATCTTCCAACTGGCCTCATAGAAAAATAGCATATAGCCTCAATCCTGCAAATTCCTCCATTATTTCTTAAATATGGTCCGCAGGGGGGTGACCACTGCCTGAATCCTGCAAAATCCTGCGGCAGTGACCGTCAATATTTTGAGGCTTGGCCAATGACATCTTGGAGCAGAACGGAGGATTTCAAGCACAATCCAGGCCTATATTTATGCACTGCTAAGCAAAAACAACACAAGGTCCATCCCAAGACCTTGACAAAGTGCATGCTACAAAATCAGTAACGCACTTTTGCCATGTAAACTCAATCCTCCAAATTCCTCCACTTTGGGAAAGAAAATTTTGAAGAATTCTAGGCGGTTAGGGTTAATTGATTGCAGTTAGACTTTAATTAATGGATGTATGATCGTTGCTAAAACCCATAAAGTATCACATTTTTAAACCCTCCTATGCAAACATACATTCTGTGCCAAGTTGTTCTTTCAGTCAAGTGACTGTTTTCAACAGTCAAGAGCTCCCAGCGTACATAAAGCAGTATTGACTGGCTATGACTGTTCATGTAACTTGGTACATCTATGCTTTGACTGTAGCTGATTGATAAGCCATCTGTGCCTACCACTTGTCTGCTGACTGAATTTGACTACTTACAATGCTTGCTTGAAATATGATCTGTTAGTGCCTAGCCTGTGTAAAAGGCATGTGTATTTTTGTTGACTGCCTGTGACTTTTAGACAGCAGGAGGGTTAATAGATGTATGATCGTCACGCATAAAGTATCACAATGAATACAATTAGACTGCAGTTGCACTAGCAACTGTGTCGAACTACAATGTATGACTAATACAAAATGCATCACCACGTTCAACAGATTAGTGTTTATCCTGCTGAAGATTCCAAATTCTCCTACAAGGCGAGTAAAAAAACCTGCAATAATGCCAAGGAGCCATACTTTCCTCAAAACCAAGTTGAAGTTTTGAACTTTTTATTTAAACCTTGTAAGAATGACATATATTCATCAGAAACCTTGTGTGAAAAAATGAAGTTAATCGCATTTACCATTTCTGAACCTTTTTAATACGGTACCAGATTGACGTTTTTGTCTATGAGGCAACAGAATTTTGCATAAGGCCTACATGAAAATAATTTTTTTTGAATAATCAAGACCTTGAATGATGGTTATTTGAATCACACAATGATGGGGACGTCCCGTTCGATTTCTAAACCAGGAACCAGAAGCTTCGTTGTTGGGAGCTCTTAAAGTTGATTTTCTCACAAAACTTGCTTTGAAAACCGATAGCATGTTGGTAAAAAAACATTCACTATTAAAAATATTAAGTCTATCTCCTAAACAAGGGGAAATTGTAAGTGCAGCTGGGCCTGCCAAAGGAATGCTTCACTTTCGTATTGTGACAGTTGATTGACTTCAGTTGAAAGGAGTACTTCACTTTCGTAATGTGAAAGTTGATTGACTTCAGTTGGTAGTAACCAGTTTGTCATAACCCGTAGCCCTGTCAACTCATTAAACTCCTCTGTGCATTAAAAAAGAGGGCGCTATTTACAGAAAGTAACCCCTCCCCCCCCCCCAGCTACACCACAAAAATATGATGGTTCCCCTATTTCAATGGTTCCCATTTCACACTTGTCCTGTAACATTTAAGAATGACTGAACACCAGGGAAGGCGGGGTTTGTGCAGAATATGCAAGTTTTCCTTCACCTGTACGTGTACCCATCTTGAGGAGGTAGTTGTGCAAGCCCCGCCCCCAAGAGCCATATATTATTCAATACACCAAACACTACTTGATATTTTATCGAACATCAGCTCTAATATCCTCCACCTCCTTCCTTTTAGGTCAGAAAATTGAGTGGAATAAATTGTTTTATCAATGTTGGGATATTTCAGCTTTAAAGATTTCAGGTAGCAAGGGTGTGTTAAAGGGAATATACAATAATTTGCTTTTGCTGTAATTTTCAGAAATGGATTCAGAAAAAGTACTATTTTTTAAGAAAAAACTTTTAACTAATAATAATGTAGCAGAAAGGCTTTCTTGGAGATCTTTCTTTAATTCTGTTATCAGCGTTACAAATGCACTTAATTCAGGGGGAACCCATAGAAAGCAAGTATTGTGATAACAAAGGAAACACACAAAATAACAGCATGGATGATACAGTGTGTTTAATACCATTACAATCTCTGTACAAATGTAATACATCTCTTTTGATTTTTACATGGAAACAACTGTGAGTTCTATGGTTTTATGTACAGTTTAATTTACAGATACATTGTACATGTAATGATCAAGAGTGTTGAGACTTATTTTTTATTTACATTTGAAAATTGTTGCTTTGTGGAAATCAAAAATGTAGTGGTAAAAGGAGTTAAATTATTTCTTTAAAACAAAGTATGCCTAGCCTCCCCCAACACAAAACTGACGTGCTGCGAATGCCAATATTTCTAATTTGTGTTTCTAAACAATAAATTACTATGCGGCTTTGGAAGTTATAGAAACTTTTGGACGAGAGGATTGCATTATTGGCTGTATTGTCAAACATGACGAAACAGCCTTTGTTTTCGTTAAGAATTTTTTTCTCTTCTTTTTCTTTCTTTTTCAGTCATTTGTTTGTTTCCGGCACTTTGGGCACTAAAATTAATCTGATTGCCTTTATACTTGGCACACACTTAGAGACCAACACCTGCAGATATGTGTCGAACATTGATGTAATCATGAGGTCATCGCGTGTCACGTGACATCACATTATCGGTGAATATTTTAAAGGCCTATGTGTACAGAACTACAGGTCCAATTGGGTTGAAAGTTGGTTTGTACCTAGACCGGGGTGTGTTATAGATGAAAAAATAAAGTGACTTCATGGTGACGTCATCATGGGTCAAGTGACATCACGTTTAAGAAAATCAAGATAAAATTAACCGTGAGACATCTGAACATGACTTTTTTTTTGAATTGATAGAATAATCCTTGGTCTTCATTTTTGATAGTATGTGCAAAATCATGTGACCCTTCCTTCCAGTTAAAACTGGATGTGCTTTGTAATTTAAAATTGGTAAAAGATGTGCAAACTTGCTTTCAACGATGTATGCTCTGGCTAAGTTTTTCTTTACAAAAAATATTAACGGTGATGTCATAAAATGTTAGAGATCCTTCTGGCGGAAGGATATAGATGATAATAGATGAAAATTGATGTGATGTCATCATGACGTCATCACGTGACGTGTGACGTCATAATTCAAAGCCCTATGAGAATGTAATCACATATTTACATGCCACCATATATTATAAACAGAACTACACATTTTTCCTAATCATCAGTCTCCAAATCCAGCTATGGGACGTTGAGCCACCCACTCCAACAGATCAGTCGAGGTGAGCCACAGGTCAGGGCTGACAGAGTATGGTCAGCCTCAAGCTGTCACACCCAGGTTCCTGGATGGAACTCATACTTGATACTTTCCATGTCACATATGTCACAAAAAAAGTTGCGGAAACAACTGTTTGTCCACAAACATAAGTCTAGGTTTTTTTCTTATCTCTTTTTTTGGGGGGGCTGGAGTTTTGCTTTTGGATCCTATGATCTGATCCGATCAGCAGGATTGGTTCTTGGTAATGTCTGCAGAGGGATATTGTTTGTTGGTACTTGCTGCCTCTTTCTGCAGCAGAAGGCTTGCTTAAAGGCCTTCCTGTACCTTCCACTACTTGCATTGAATAGGACTGAATTAATGGAAGAGTTCATGAGTTTGAGGCAAGCTGTCATCAGATTCAACCCCCATTCCACATCATCACTTACATTCACTTCTTTCCTGCTTCCCACTAAAATTGCAATTAGGCAATATATAGCTTGAGGCAGAAAACAGACAAATACCACGGCTGTGTTGATGCCAATTATCAGAGTAACTCTTCGTAGATGTTTTGACGGACCTCGGATCTGATCGCCGGTTGGATTTGATGCATGCAGTCCCTTAATAAGGAGGATATTGAGAGTGACTGTGAGGATCAAACTCAACAAGAATACACAGAAATACAGGTACGTGAAAACCATATTCAAAGTCAACAAAGTTGCATCATTATTCCCATACACCCACACATTACCTGATAGATGTTTATACTTTTCTTCAGTTGGCCAAACAAGACATTTGATTGGTGGTACATTAAAGGCCAGAAACCGATTAAAGAAAACAATCAAATTCATGGAAAAAGACAGTACCCATATGCAAACTGCTGCTCGTATTGACCGTCGCTTCAGATTGAGATTACGGTGTTGGAAAGGGTAACAGATGGCAAAATATCTATCATAAGACAGCAGTGTTACAAAGGCTATAGATGAAATAACACCCACACTCCCAGTGTACGCTAAGAGAGTAAGAACTGCTTGGGCTGAGTTCCCCAAATATGATACATCCAATATAGATTGTGTTGGCAAAGCCACACATTGCTGATGAGTGGCCTCTGAAATCAAGACCATCAAATCTGCAACTGCCAAATTACTCAAGTAGAAATTAGTGACATTCCACATGGAGGGAACTCTGCAAAGGGTAAAGAAAAAAGACAGAATGGATAGGATCCCTAGTAGTTCGAGGACAGGAAGGACAAAACCATACATTACAGTCTCTGCGTTGGAATACACATACTTGTCAGCCTCTGCCAGATTCTCAAAACCAAGGATTTGCAATGAGTGGTTGAACAGTTTGTATCTTTCATTGCTTGGTACATCAAAGGATTCGTTCATCGGTGCCCAGGGAGATTGTCCCGTTTCATCCCAGATCAGTGGATGATCCATCTGGGGAAAGGAATAGGCCACGGAGCAGTTGTCGCTGTTGTTCTGGAAGACACAGGTGAAGAAGGTACAGACCAGAATGTCCAGCTGTGCAAGGGATGCTGTAGCTTGGGCATAGACGGTGACATTTTCATGGTACAACCACATGATTGACACAGAGTCTTCCTGCTGATGTATATTTTAAGCAGTGTCAACAACAGTAGATGTGATTGTTCAGTGTACTGTACAGATACCGGTATGTGGGGTAGAGAAACACAGCAGTTTGCTCACACTGAATGGAGGGCTGAAGAAAAGCGTGATTCCCAGATGACGACAAAATCAAGCAAGACAAGTTTGACTGGTGAGAATAACTGCAGGTTTGTTCAGCAGCAACGCAGTTGCAAAAATAACAAACTCTCCCTCTCTTGTATGCAGCGCTGAATCAAAAGTCAAGGTACATGTAGCTGAATCAAACGTCAAGGTCCATGTACGACAGCCACCGTGTCGCGATCGGGTCACAACTGGCCAGACGAACGATGCCACCTTCCAGTTTTCAGATTGGGCACTCGTTGAAAAGTCTGCCTCTCAAATAGTACACAGGAAACAAAGATTTGAACAAGTTCACGAAGGACAATCTGAAATAGCAGTTGCTGTTCCACTTGGGTACAGTTTCCAACCAACAGTTGTTTGAAGCCAGTGTTCTCTGTATTTCACCACTTCAACTTTAATAGGAAAAGAAGATTTGACTCTGCACTCAACTATCTGTCCCGTGTGTCCTCATAAGTCAAGTGACAGCATGTGACACCAAGTTTGATTGCTGGTTTAGTTGAAATTGAGGAAGTGTATAAGCATCAGTGTTTGAGGCTCAATGTCGATTGTACACCATACTTTGTTAATGGCGACTTACTGCGACGTGTCTGCTAAGACAATGCAAAATGATCTTCACGAGCGAGTGTTCTACTTAAATACTTTCATAGGTGGATCACATCGAAACTGACACGCTTGTGGTCACTTTCACCCTGACAAAATGACCTTGAAGATAAAGTGCTCTGGTTAAAACGTTAAATTACGAAACAGCACATCAAAACTGAAAACGCAACTCTCAAGATCACATAATGATGGGTTGTATCCTATTTTTGGTATTCAAGCTCGCAGCTTCCTTGTTTCGTTCTTTCTTCCAAATTCAATAGAACACGACACATCCACAAAATATAAGTCTTCTTAAATATAAAAAAGTATTGAAGGTACACCAAGGGCAAAGCCTGCTGAATTGAAAGGGAGTCTGTTTTTCATTCTGTGAAAACCATGGTAAAGGCAGCAAAAGATCGGTTCCTATCCCAAGTTACATGTACATTATGACGAATTTGGTGCTTTGCATTTCAGGGCCGTAGCCAACCCATGTAGGGGTTAAAGCTACAGTCCATCATTTGCAGCTACCCAAAAAGTAACTGACGTAATATTATTGTTGAAAAACATAATTGGTTTAAATAGTAAGGGGACTAAACTCCCTGTGAAATTATTCTTTCTGGCAAGCTGTCATTTTGAAGAAATCAGTGAAAGAAGCAGTCCTTCATTTTTAAGGAGCGCGATCGCGCAGGCGCTCCTACAGGAAGGGGAGTGTCGTTTAACATGAAGTGGACCTTGAATGGTCATGGAAATACACAATCGCAAAGCATTTAATGAATTTAAAGAACATTGCTTTAGGAGGGAGGTGAAGTTCTTTTAGGTAAAGTACATCATTTGTCATTTATTTTCATTTGAAGCAACAAAAGTGCTCAAATCTCAAGACTAGTGGTTAACAACTACATGTAGCCTGATGAAGTTTCAGTTCAACGAATGCTGTTTGTTCCGAGTACTAAAACAATATTCTAGGATCTTGATTTCAATTCAAAAGTTGCCGAGTCAAGTTTTGAATTGTGCCCGAAATCAGCATCCGGGACACTTTCTCATTCAGCCGATTGCAGCTCGCTATCAAGGTTCATGACATACATTAAGTCCAACCAAAAATAAGGATGCACACACGCAGTGGTATTCACACCATTGATTGTGGACGTCCAATTGACCCTCTTTTGTTTGTACTCTTTTTAGGATGACTCCCATATGTTTTGTACATGACCCCAATCGCGGACGTATACTTGGAATCGCGGACGATATTGTTCTCTTTTGTTCTCCGGCATTTTCGTCCACGGTTTGAGCCTGAACACACCCACAAATGCATGCACAATTGTGCATTTTTAAAAAATTTTCAAAACCTTTTCACAACAGCTCTCATTGGTTTTGTACAAGTTTTCTAATTGAGGTCGTCCTCGATTTGAGTCCTGTCCTCAATTCATCGATGATGTTGCATGGTGATTTACACCATAAACAGGCACATGTAGTTGTGTTTTCCGTCACTCTCGAGGACAAGCCATTATCTTTTTCTTTGTCTCTGTAATATAACACTCTCCCATAGTATTTAATAGGCACATAAACACACGATCAAGGGCCGTTTTAAATAAAAGATGAACGATTGTTGTCAACAAAGAATCTGTTGTTCTCCCTCTTGTCTGTCTGTTCTAGAGGTGTATGTAGTGTACGCCCACAGGACTGACAAGACGGAAACAGTGTGTCCCTTCGGCTTCGCTGGTGGGGTACAAAAAAAGACAGCTCCTTTGCATAAGTGCAAAATTAACATTCCTGCGGGAGTTTGTTTGTTCCCATGTGGACCATTTTTCTTGCTATGGAAAAGAATGAAGGGCTTACCTGAGGGCGTCCGAATAGTTTGGAGTGATCAAAGAACGGAGTCGACTCACTCGGCCTTGGCTGAAAGAAAAGAAGATTTTCAATCAGGCAGGCATGCAGACGGGAAGTCACAAAAAAAGAGGAAATTCAAATCTTTCCATGACTTTGTACAGTGTTTTTCTATTTTCAATGGCACACATTGGAAGTTAAAAAAAAGAGGAAATCAGCTAATCCGAGGAAAAGTTGCATGCCTGATCAGGGGAGGTGCCTAGTTGGCTTGTTACTCTCACAATATACAGAATTTTATCGTATGGATTCCGTTCACAGTACCCCCTCAACGGTTGCAAACGGAGAGTTTGGGGGACCATTGGAGCACGGATCCTACACATAAGGATTAACGACTCAGCCGAACTCCTGGTTAAATGCGTGATAACAGCCCGTACTGGTGGCAAGTACCATGGAAACTTGTCAACAAAGACCCCTGCGCGCGGCGGCTTTCAAATTTGCAGGGCTCTGCGCATGATCTGATGTCGAAGTCTGTCAAGCCAGCCAATTATATTTTTGAATATTCATGATCCTAAGTTTTTGGCCATTATTATTGAATTCTGATACGTGATAACTACATAACCATTTTAACATGGTTAACACCGAGCACAATATCTTTAGCTTTAAAATGAAGTATGAAATGTTGTATTTGTTTTATCCGTTTGGGCCCCTATCTCTCTAAAACTTTTTAATGAAAGCCTAATTCAAAACGAGATTTGGGTTAACGGTGTTCTCGGAAAAGGTGTCACATTTGATGGGTAAACACCTCATCTATGAAACAAAAACTGCACAATACCATCTGTTATATCCTGACATATTTATTTTTTTAACAATTTTGGAACAAGCATATCTTACATAAGGAGTGGTTTTGCTTACAGTTTAATGAATATTTCCGTTTAAGATGTCATGCAAAAAAAAAAAAAAACCCGACAAAATGGCACACCCGGAACATTTTGCTATTTAACATGCGAACGGGTATTAATGTTTGTACTTGCCCAAAAAGTGTTTTTTTTTACTGTTTTTTTTGTGTCAAATGTCAGCTGATGACTGCAAATGGTGCCCGCCTAAACTTAGTGCAAATATATGGGAGTCCAGAGAGGCCACATAAAGCTTATACTCGATCGTAACCCTATCTAAAAACACGTTAAAATTGTGTAGCAGCAGGAATCCAGTCAAACCAGTGAGCTTGGCGGTTTTAAGACATCATCTTTCATTGAAATTTTTTTTTCTTCATTTTGCCGATGTGCATGGCTACGGCGACGCGCGTGCATACCAGGAACCGGAGACTTTTTGTTTGGCCTTTGAGCTCAGAACAATCGTTCATCCTTGTGTGTAGGATCCGTGATTGGAATGAAATTCTATTGCATCACCGTTGGCACACGACACCCAAGCCAAGAAACATTGGCTTTGCGCACATTCACAATATAAGATCAGTCGTGGGTATTTCACGCCATATGGCGGTGAGTCCTGTCCATTGGGCTCTCGGAAGTGGTCAAAAAGCGCCCTCACTTGTTCCCGCAGAAAGAGCAATTGACCGGCCTCGACTCCATGGGCATGTGCACATTCCTCTGCTGACCCCTGGCCGTGAGGAATACGTAAACCACGCTGACCGGCTATTCAGAGCGTACGCATTTCAAAGACAGCACTCCCTAAGGCGCTCACGCATTATCTCCTGCGTGTCACGTCACGTCACGTACGAAATTTTTTTTTAAACTGCACGATGACTGAATAATATGGATTTTGGATGCATCGTCCCCCCCTCCAAAAAAAACCCTGTATCTTGTGTAGTAAAGGAACGACAAAGGTATGTACATTTAAGATAAATCCTTGCTTAATACCGTGTCATCCAAATCTCATGTTTGAAATGATTGATTCTACCACACACACAAAAACTTTCAAAATTTTAAGCACTGCGTTTAAATTTAAATTCAATTTAAATGTTCAGCTATTTGACACATTTATATTACACAATTTCAGGGGTCAAGATCGCGCAAGGCATGATGGGAAACCATCATGGTACCCATGGAAACGAGGTTGGCAATTGACTGCTCCTGCGCAGGGCCCGTGTCGAGTACTACCACTTACCGAGGCGCTGAATATCCTGCTAGGATCAAAGAACTGGGCCCGGGGCTGAGGCTGGGGTTGAGGCTGGGGCCTGGCCTGAGGTCTTGTGGGGAAGTATCGCGCCTGAGTCTGGTTACCAGATGCAAAGTGGGGACCAGGAAAGCGTTGGCTCGGTATCTGCATAACAAAGATAATAAATAGGAATCTGGTCTATAAGGTATTGCCCTTTGTCGATGTATTTTACAAACACTGTATACTCAGCCGAGTCTGATGTAGCAGGGGGTACTGCAATATAATTGGAAAATCACGCCGAAATAATTTTTTCTTCTTTGTAACAGGAAGATGAACTGGTGATTAATGAATGGAAGTATTTAGAACTTGATGAAATTTTCACTTTCTGTGAAATTTTAGTTAAAACTTTTGCTATAGGTAGGCGCTACAGGTGAAAAATCAAAGTCTGCCACGTTGGGGGCCGCGCCAAGTAAGGGTACATCAATAACACATTGCATTTGTTTGTTGATCAATAGATTGAAACTATTGAGAGCTCGGGCAGTTTCAGGCTACAGGTATTAATGGGCTTGGTGGTTTAAGGCAATAAATTGACTCATGGGTTTAAAGGGGCACACAATCTAATGGGTGAAACTGATATTAATTGAAGATTTAAGATGTTACGTCCAAAAAGAATTCATCATTCCTCATTCAAATTTTGGTCCAGCACTTCTTACATTCCTTGCCTGTTGCTGGAACTGTTGTTGTTGCTGCTGTTGCTTCTGCTGCACTTTAACATGTTGTTCCCAAGCGAGGGCTACGTCGCTCAGCAAGCCTCGTTTCTCAGCCATCTGCTGATTGGTCAGCGGCACCAGTTCCACCGGCCTACATCCCCGCCGGTCCTTTCTGGTCGGGTCGACCCCGTACTTCCGCAGGACGTCCACGACCGATTTGGCGTGGGCAGCTGGGCCGGATTTCTTGGCAACCAGGTGGAAGAGCGAGTCCCCAAATCTGTCAGGCAGGTTCCTCCGCTCGCTCATTTTGTAAAGGTGACTGAAGAGGTACTCCAACAGGCCCACCCATCCTGAGCAAAAAAATCCACACGAGATTTAGCAACAGTCTAATAATAACTAGATTTAATATATAGCGCCAAATTACCAAAGGATGCAAGGTGCTTGAAGGGAACAATACATGTATATGAAAGAATAAGGAAACCCA